GGATTCTTCTCATTCGCCCGAAAGGCTTTACAAGCTTTTTTCCGGGGCCCTATATGCCAAGGTACAGTTAGTTCCCAGGGACCCTTCACATTGGTCCCGGGTTCTCTCCACCTGCTCGAAGGGCTTTGTGTTGTTGCTGAGGCTCATATAAAGTAAGGTACCGAGCCACGCGACGCCGAAGGGAAGGCTTTGAACGAAGGCTTTTTCACTTTCCTTCTAATCTCATTTGCGGAGGCCCTCCACTCCTACCGGGGTTCTTTCTTCTAACTTACCCGGGCGCTCTTGGTCGCACAAGGGTATTAATTCATAACATTGGTATCCAGCGATTTCCCTTTGCTGGGAGGGCCCTATGCTCAGGCCGGGGTCCCATATGTCAGCATGTCGGGGCACTACCGATTGCTCAGGGGCCCACCACGTAGTGCAATTAAGTCCTTTAGAGCATTCTTTTACACTTTAAAGGAAACCAAGAGTGAGCATGCATGCAAGTGAGCATGCATCACGCTTACCATAATTTCTTAAAATGCAGAATGTTCTCTTTAAGAGGGCAGGCTTCACATTTTAAGATACTGATGCAAGCACCATATGTTATGAAATAAGCTGACTTATAACTATTGAGTTACGTTTAAGAGGAAAAGACCGCTCAAGACATGACAATTTCTCTGTGTAGCAGATATGCCACTCAAATATGCGTATATATACATACATACATATATATATATATATATATATATACATATATATATATATATATATATATATATATATATGTATATATATGCGTATATACATATATGCGTATAATATACAAATATGCATCATTGTTTTAATATGTCATCGTACCTTGCACAACATCGATTGAGAACCAACTGACGGCCATCATATCTGAAAATGGTGCTCACGGACGCTAGATATGAACGAATCGACAGTGATATTTGTCTTCGCCATGACCGCCGCATGGCAAATGAAATGGCTGAATTTGAATGACATTATAATAGCGTCAAAGACGCCTGGGTGACCTTGAAATAGTCTCCCCGAGATGGTCTGCGTAACGTCACGGGCGTTCAGCTCAGAAAGTAGAGGGGCTTAGGGCTTAAGAAAGGCAGCGCTGTGAACTGGACCGAACGCTATTCAAGATGGTTAATTCAGTTCATGCCCTATAAAACACTTCTTTTAACGCCAGAAAACTCAGAGGTGGAAGTGGTGATACTCCCTGGTTATACGTGGAGACTGACACAAATGGAGAAGGAGGCAGATCAGGGTCAGTGTTTGTCATGGTGTTTGATGGGGCGATTCCCTCTGACATACTCCAAACACGAGTAAGTCAATGTTATATTTGTCCAACCCTGAACACAGTATGGCCATTGAGGAGGCGGAAGTTGCCCGGCGCATTTATGACGTCCCAACTCTCTGGGTGTCTTCAAAATAGACGGCACAAAATAGCCTGCACAAATTTGTGTGGGCCTAGGCTAGAAGCGAGTGGATTTCAAGTTGGCAAAACTATCAACAGGAGAAATTACTTTGAAAACGGCTATCACATTTAAAAACCTCCAACTAACTTTAAACAGTTCTTTTAAGAAGTTGAGGTGGACGATGAAAACCCCAATCACTCGCCATCGTGACAATACCCAACAATTTTCAACCTAGCCTCCCCTCTTTAGTCGTCCCAGCAGTCTGCCCTCTCCCACCAATGCAGAATGCTGGTGAAGCAGTGCCTTCAGGTGGCTCCGAAAAGCAACCAGGCTTTCCAGGACTTTGGTTCGGCCAGGTGTTCGTGTTAGTCCTTTTTCCTTGACCAAAATCTGCATGGACCTGCGGGCTTAATACGGTTGCTAAAAAGCGGAATACTTTTGAAATATCCCTTCTTACAAGGATCAGTTGATATCAAAGGTTGAAACTGTGTTTGCTGAAATATTATGCCGATAAGGAGCTAATAAGATTGATAGGTTGATATGGGCTTATAAATGCTTAGGTTAGTATTCGACGTAACTGATAGGTCATCATTAGGCTGTACCGAGGAAGAGGCTTCCTGCTCTAACAAGGTGCATCCAATTTAGGAAAGTGACCTCCTGATCCAGAAATGGCTTCCGGAACCGAACCTCTGGACCTGCGGAAGATCAATTGAGTCATACAAACTAGCCGCCCTTATTCAGGAAAGTACTCCTAACCCAGAACAGGACGTCCCCACAGATGAGGGAGTCTCCAGATCGAGGAAATTGGCTGCGTTATCCTGAGTCAGGCCTTCAGCATAAACATCTGGCTCCGTGGTCAACCAACATATCACTGTCACGTCCGGTACGGGCAGGCCGGTGGGACGACGCTGTACCGGCGGCAGCAGCGTCAATGCGATCACATAGCTATGGCGTGATGCACAGAATGCGGTATCCACGGTAGAGCCTATAGGACAGAGGTGTGCATTGTAATTCTCGGACGTTCAGTGACCTCGCAGACCTCACTGGGGAGTCGAATGGTTTCGGGGGTGTGTTCAGCCGCAATAAAGCGGAGGCAGGAAAACAGACCGTTGTGGACTGTTCTGCGAGCACCAGCCGGCCACATCAAATATTGCCGATGTCGATCCTCTCACGCTCCTAAGACAGACAGGAAGTGGGCAGACCGTCACAGAACGGAGAACACCTCAACAAAGCGCCAACGCCGCTCCTCAGCCGCGCCACGTCACGGCCGTGGAGAGGTCAGTGAAGTGAAAGCGAGCCTACACACTTCTCCGATAAGGCTCTTACTTTTTACTACTGTGGCGACAACTACCAGATGTTTAGACGCGAAAGCAAAAAAAAGTGCGTTAAAAAACCCCACGAATGTTGTGCGAGGAGCAGTGAACGCCTTTATGGCTTCAGTGTGGCTCTACCGCAGCTGATCTGATCGATCCCAACGGGAACTATCATATGCGGGTTATCCGGACAAAGGAAGCTTTATATCACTCATGTCTTAGGGTGTTGCGGGAGACATAAAGCTTTCTGAATTGCTATGTTAGATCAGATTGAAAATTATGTTGAGATGTTGAAACATACCTATCGCACGCGCTCTGCAGAGCAGGTATCTCTGAACATTTCATGAACGTCCGTTTTATATTTACGCTCCCA